GTGGATCAAGCGTTACGAACGGTCCTCAGCAGTGGCACAAGATCGCATAGCAATAAAACCAGGCCCGAAGATCGAAGATCAAAAGCGGACATGGGACAAGCTCAGCGTGTAGTCTCCTCCTGTTGCCTCTGCGCAGAGGTGTACCAATTTTTCAACCTTGGGAGTAATAAATGTGAGTTACTCGACCGCGGTTCGAATCCGGGGCCTCTCCTCGGGTTATGAGTCCGACGCTTTACGGATAGAGCAACCTCGGTCTTAGCTGAAAAGATTAGCTTCCAATGAAAACTGAGATGAACATATAGCCTTTTTTCTACGGCCCCGGACCGAACAAGTCGAGCACAAAACTAAATGGTCAGTGAGCATCGAACATGGTACGATAATGTCTGTTGCAAGTAGGTCAAAACACGACCTGACATAATATGATATCGGTCATCTGAACGAAACTCCCTGCTTAGGTTTTGGCAATACCTCAGGTCTTATTTGAGGAAAGTTTACTGTTGATATTTGACATTTGTAACCAAGGTAATCGATTCCAACCACATAAAGGTTTAGCCAATTCCTAGAAAAAGAAAAATTATTTTTCTTAGGACAGATTTAACATGATTTTCGTTTTTGAGCCTGGTCTGAGCTGCGATAACAGCTTTCAGGTATAAAACGAAGGATGAAAGAGTTGTTACCCTTTTATCGTCGTTCGATTTCCCTCTGCTTTACCATTTCCTACTCTTATTCTTTCCGCTTCTGCCCTCTTCAAAATTTTGCTTTACACGAATATTGCCGCGTAGTATGAGGTTACATCATTACAACTGCAATGTTGAAGGCCACGTCGCTTCCAAACGATTAGGGTAAATATTTACACATTACTCCATATCATGACTCCATGGCATTTGAACATCGACAGTAGGTGAATTCTCAAGACGGGATCACTGAGGAGAGGAGAGAACGAACCAGGCACATCAGCAAGCACGCAAGTCCATTGAGGAGGGAATGAACGGAGGCAACAGCATTGGCCTGCCCGAAATCTCATGCACCAAAAGACCCCTTTACGGAATACTATGGCTGTTGCTCGCAGGTTAACGAGCTGCTGCCCGTTTCTCGGCTGGCCGCACCGAAGAATGTGTGGTGAATTTCTTGCCAAAAGCAATTAGTGATTAAGATGGAGATAGTTCCTTCACTGGATTCGAATACATCGTCGTCCTGATGAAGGAACACCGTGTTAGGGTTGCAAAACTCTCCGTTGCAAATAACTGCTCAATTTTCGGGTTGTTTACCGTCTCACTCTGTAGCTGAGGTAAAATCGTTAGATCAGCGGCTGTGAACAACCGACCGCACGATCAACTGCAAGGCAAAAGTAAAGAAGGCCTGTAAAACAGATACAGAATTGTCACTGACTCGAGGCTTATGCCGAATGACAAGTCCGCTATATTAACTTGTACTAAACGCACCTCACATTGATTCATTTTCAGCATGAAGATCAGCTCATGAAACAACTAGTAGTCGGTGACTGTTAGTAAATGAAATGCCAATGAGGCTGTGACCGCACCGTCTCTTGCCTCCCATATCACAACCCGTGCAGAAACGAAAATGAGTAACATTTGTATTGAAGCAGCTTTCGCAACACGCCTCCTGTCAACACGATGCGACGATAATCCATAGCTGATGAGGTGACAGATGAAATCCGGTTTCTTCAAGAAAATTTAGAAATAGGTCTTCGTCGTCGACGACGGAAAAATCAATGACTAGCGTCTATCGTTCATTTTTTATTGACCTCGTACGACGACGATGAGGTCTTATGAGGCAAAAAAACCATTAGCATATAATCAAACAATCGCCGTCATCTTCGATCGGCAACACCGCATTTGCCGTCGCCGTCGTCATCCGCCGCAGAGGTGAATACGGTGACCGTCTCGAGAAAGGAAAAGGTGATTTTTAATTGACATAGGAAAAAGAAACAGAAGACCGAGAAAGGAAATATCGATTTCCTTAGCCGGTGCGACTAAGTCGCCCGAGTAATCACCGACAAGTGGTCAAGAACACTACGAAGGGGTATTCGAATTTGGCAAACGGTACTCAAGCATCTAAGCGATCCCCCCGGCAATGAGCCCCTACGTGTGAAACCGTGCATGCATCAATCCAAAGAAGAATCGATCAAAAACCATGAACGGATAAGTCATAGCAAGTTGTCTATGGTGCCTTATATGTCAAGGTCATGGATGACAACGATAGTCAACACTTAACGTAAAGTTCGGTCAATAGCTGATGGCGGCCTTCAGTGACCCCAGTAAATCACTTCTGCGCGATGCCCCAGCTTAGTATGCAATCTGCTAAGTGAGGTTCTAAGTAAAGTAGACACCAGTCGATTTGTGCAAACCGATTGGCAAAGAATGTCTGGGAGATGCATTACCTCAGCCACTACGGCAACCAATCATACAGCCCAAACTCGTCGACCACCGAGGCGATGACAGCCAAGGTCTGTCAAGGCTTTTGATGTCTTTGAGGTAACTTAAAAGAACGGCACACCAGAGGCATACCCTAAAGAAAGCATTAAGAGGAAATATCAACGATCACAGATCAAATGCGGCAAGAGTGCGTAACTAACAGTTATATCATCGACTCAATAGACACCAGATGACCTTCACTGAACGAAGCTTCTGTTTCATACACCTGTTCTTCTTAGACGAATCTTGTGAATTAATCTGAGCGACAGTGACAGCATCAGGCAGGTAGATATTTGCGCATGTTAAACATGAAATTTGTGGCATCTGCTTCTTGCTTGACAGCATCGAAAAAACTCAAAAGAAAATTTTACACCATCCGGTACCTGTAACTCAAAACTGCCATCATCCATGCTGTTGCATCTCCGCTCAGTGAGGATTTGTCATGAAACACTCGGAACTGAACCATTGTGTTTTATAGGGTGGGGTTGCCACATGCTGGCTGCAGTGAACAGTCAGCTCTCAGGTTGGCCAAGGCGGAGTGCAGTCACAACAAGCACTGACATTGGATAGTATGACCGCAGACCTAGTTCATTCAGGCAGGACAACGCCAGGACACCATACCGTCCGGAATGTTCGCAAGCTAAAGACTCGCTACTCGTTTATTGGCTGTTTGCACCGAAGCAACATCGATTAAATTCCTTGCTCAAGAAAATTTGCGGTTAAGGCAAGTATTTTTCTTTCCAGGAACTTGAACCCGGCTCCGCGGGAGTTCTAGGGCGACCTTTCTACCACCGCACCATGCCCCCTTCTCTGGTTTTGAGCGATTTCAATACGGTAATCCATTAAGACATTTTAACAAAATAAACTTAAAACATTACAATGCAATGATCATTTCAGACAGAAGTCACTAAGTGATGGGCACAGCTTTGTTTTTGGTTGCGATTGACGGAGCAGAGTCAATCAAGCAGTCAGCCGTCGAATTTTTTCAGGACTGAAAATAAAAGCGGTGTGTACACAGTATTTAAGAAATGATTTCTGCATTAAAATTCAAGAGTCAGCTAGGAAAATTTAGATGACAGGAAATCATCATGAAATGAATCATAAATGACCACGAATGCCATGCGATAAGATAGCAACCGTCAAAGCCGTCCATAGACACTGCGTCAATATTACAAGCAACGCTGCTCTCAGAACAGGTGCGTACGAAACGTCAGCCATTTCGCCGTAGTTCGACCAGCATTTTAGGAAACGAAATGCTCTTATAGGGGGTGCTTGCTTTCGAAAGTTTATTCGGCTGGCTGAATGTTCGAGAGCCATCAGCCACAGTTCACTAGGACTGTCATGCAGAGTGTACTGTCGGACAACTATTCGCCAAAAAGCGCCCAAGAAGAGTGAAGATTAAGGGAGAATCGGCTTGCGTTCATTCAGAGCCCCACAACAAAACACTGTCGAACGAATGACTAATTTTCAGGACCATAATAAGTAAAATTAAGAAGCTACTGACTACGCTTAAGCCCTGGCCCTAACTGAAAGTAAAATACCGCGTTTATGAAAGAATACGAAATAAAACACCTTATTAAACAAGGTAGGAAAATTTGTTTAAGAAAATTACGGAGCTGTTCATGGGCCTTGCTTTAGTGCTCTTGCGTCTAGTGGAATCGACCTGGCCTCGAGACGGAAGACTGTTCGCGGAAAGCGATGGATTTTCAGTGCCAGTACGCGATCAAGTAATCCTTAAGAAGACTGTAGGAAATGTATCATGAAAGTAACTATCTGCCTTGAATGCAAGATACGCGACAGTAGAACGCGATCGAGCCAACATACTGTGGCAGATTGTTCCGTTTTGGCTAACACCGAGTATTTCAATTGATAATTGTAAGAAGCCTAATTTCAGAAACGACACTGCATTGTCTATACTATCGAGTCAATGAGCTTAAGGATGACCACCCGACAGTCACCGATCCTGCCTTTGGTCACAATCGTGCAGACACGTTAATTTTAGATGTCAAGAACATGACAGCGGAAATTATTAATGTTGCTGTCCCACTGGACAAGAGTGTGCGAAAGATCGTTGGAGAAAATTAGAAAATACCAAAACTCTGGCTATCGTTATGAACCAACCACACCGGTTAATGACCATGTGAACAACAGTGCTGGTCATCTCAACAAATGGCCCCATTCACAAATCAGTGAAAATAAGTCTGAACCACTCGAAGCTCATAAACATGCCATTAAAAAGTGGCAGAAAACTGCCGTTCTCAATGAATGCAGAGTAATGAGAAAAATCCAGGAGAAATTTTTAGCAACACGCAGCTTAGTCGGTTAAGCTCAACCTCTGGTTACTGGCGAAATATCTTCTGCATGGGAGGGAGCATACGAATTAAAACCTTAATAAGATAAACATTAATAACCTAACTTCAGTCTTAATAACATTAACAAACCATACCTGTATATGATTTTTTGCATCATCTTTCAATTTCCTATTACTTTTGTTTTTGCTCTGCTTCACGCTGCAAAACAACCAATCAGCATGAAATATTTCATAACATCACGATTTGTCAGAAGCTATGAAATAACAGAGAAACGAGGATTAAAAATGTCATGTATGGAAGTCTGGTGTTTAAAGCTGCTGGTCGTCTGGCGCGTCTTCGGGCTGCGCACAGGGGAGTTTCTTCCATGTATGGAGATCAGCTGCCACAAATAAGCAGTTGTGGAAAGACCGCACTAAGGCTACCACGGAGTTGCTGAATTCAAGCTCGACCAGTTCGTTCCATAATAAAATATCACAACGACTCTCAACCCCATCTCATGACGAAATGAAAGCTAAAAGCCTCTATGAAAGAAAATCCGCTACCCCGAGTTTAGACGTAGGTTCATCGAAAGCTAGAAGAAGCAACCCTCGATAAAAGACCAGACTGTACGAAATTCGCCATGTGAACGTAAACCCTGCCACGTGGTGGCAAAACTTCATGCGCTATGACATCACAAAGGGCAAGTACCGGCCGGTGCTCGCGATGTAAGGAAGCAAATCAGGCCTGATGTGCCTGGCTGCGAGTCTGAATATTCAGCCTCCACTGAAAGGCCGATTCAAATGACGACCCTCCACGCAAACAAAAGCTCAGCGGGCAAAAATTTCACAACCAGCGCAGCGTGACGAGTTCCCTTTGCCTGCTCGTTTTGTCTCGTAAAAACCTCTCCAACTCCCCGTAATTTAAAAATCCATACTCCAAACAATTGAGGTAGCGTGAGGACAATTCGGCTGAAATACTTTCTACCCCATAACGTGAAAATGGCGAGTTACATGAAAACCACCACTACAGACCTAGCGAAAAGCAACCTGGGAGAATAAAACCATTTTTGGCAAAAAAATAGTTGCTGCTGCATAATCTGATTTGTAGACAGGATGCTTTGTAATGGAAGAAAGTATACTATAGAAACGAACGGTGATTCGCAAGAAGCCCCAAAATCCAAAATCTGAAGGCGACCAAACGTGGACAGCATGTTACTAAAATACGAAGCCTGAGTGAAACACTTGTATCGTACTGCTGTCGGAATAGAATATGATGATAAATAAGGAAACGGTTAGGGAGTCTGGAAAAATTTATGTATCGAGTGAAGCTTGAGGAACTTACAAAGCTGTTACTTTTTCGTTACAAAATTTACAACTCAATGAGGAATACCGACGTAGGTTCCAAATGCTTCGTTCAGTAAGCATTTCCCAGGCATGTAACAGTTTGCTTAATTTTCTATCATCATTTTGTGCCTGCTGATGTTCATTTTTGATCTGCAACGGAAGGAGCCTATGAGCTTTCCGGAGGCTGCAACCCGGTGCGATAAAGGAAAATTCATCTCCGTAATGCGATGGCTTATAATGTCAAACTTAATGAAATACGGTAAAGCAATAAACACATAAACATTCAATCCTCTGAAGCCTAGAGAATATTTGGTGCATGAGGGGATAATCTTTACTTGCAACTAAAGCCACGGCCTTCATTGCGCTGGGCTGCCCATCGGTGATCGCATATCATGTCTCGAAGTAGAGACGTTGAAATTACTAGGCCAGCGGTGAAAGCCAAGGGCGTCGACCTGCGTTCATGACACTCTCATAAACGAGGACAGACTAAATGAATGACGCGGTCAGAGGGTATGCAGGTAGACAAAGCAGATGCTCAGTGTACAGGCAGACATGCTTGTATTGTACGTTGGCATGGCGACTGTCGAAAGCCCAGAGTAGGCCAATTTCGTGGTACGAAATAGTCTTCAAATCATCTTCCTATATGCTCCCTACATTGCGATCCAGAAGAGTTACCGAGTCTTGCCTACTACAGCACTAAAATGACTTGGCCTGACAAAGGCTTAACGAAAGGAAAGGCTGGTTCCAACTAAATTACGTGCAGACAGCAGTCGGAACGCGTATCGAAGAAACATGTTCAAATCTTCGCAAACAGTGCTTTAACGAGTTAAGATTATGGACCGACGAGGTGATAAGTTCGCTAAGTTCCTCAGAATAGATTACCTGTCATCGAGCACGTCCGACGGCTTCGAAATGCTGTTACGTACCGCCTCCAAGCCCTCACGAAATCGGTCCTGCATCTTGCGGGCGTAAAGGGTGATGCCGCCCTCGCTCATGTAGCCGGAAGCGTCGAAGTCTCCAGGCTGTGAGTAGTTCAGCACGTCGCCATCGGACACGTAGCCAGCCCTTGGGCTTTCGAACGGATCCTTAACGAAGTTCTGCAATGTCTCGGCGTTTCCGTTGTCCGATGCCCTGATGAACGATACTAAACAAGAGCAGATGAGGACATCGGCGGATAA